TCAACACCAGCCGCAAATTCAGAGGCAACAGCCTTTAGCGGTCAGGTCTCTGGACACAAAATACTTTTGCTTTATGGTCTCCTGACGTGGTCACCACCAGGGAGGCGTCTCTGTGGGCAGAAAGCACAGCAGGGGTGGAGGGCTCAGCCCCCAAGCCCAGCTACATGAGGACCCAGAATGGCCTTGGCTCTCCAAATCCTTCCCCTGATCAACTTGCTGGCACCCAGCGCTATGCCAGCCAAGTCCACCCTAGGCAAGCATACCCGAGGCTGGCGCCCAGCACCGGAGGAACCGAGCGCCAAGCAGGGTAGGGAGCTGGCCCCTCGGGACGAAGGTGGGGTGGCTGCAGAGGGCTTCCCAGCACTCCTGCCTCCCCTACTTGGGCCCAGACGTCCCTCAGACTTTCTCTTCACCACACCCCATGCCCCGAAGACCCCTCTTCATTCCGCTGCTACATTCCAACCCGTCCCCAGACCAGGCCCAAGTCTTGACCTCATCACGCTTACTTGCTGAGCGCGAAGTCCAAGATCTCAGCTGTGTGGCCCCGGTAGTCGGTGAGCAGGCGGCCGGTGCGGGCGTCCCACAGGCGCACAACACCATCCAGGCTGCACGTATAGACCACAGCCGTGCCCACCTCCCACAGCAGCTGCACGATGCCCGACTGCACAGGGCAACACAGGCGGGGACGAATGCCAGGAAAAGAACCAAGTCAGAGCCAGGTGTGGGGCGATGGTACTCCCCCCCACCGGGGCTCCAGCTCCAGGGTGCCTGTACCTGGTGCTGGCACTGGTGCCTGAGGGTCTGCGTAGACAGGTCATAGATGGCCAAGGTCCCGTCCAGGTAGCCCACGGCAGCCAGAGGCATTCTGGGCAGTAGAAGGCATCATGAAGACCCAGGCCTTACCAGCCCTCTGTGCTTGCTCCTTACTTGTAACCCCGGCCCAGGAATCCCTCCAGGCACCCGCTTCTCCCACTCACACACTGCAGAAGCCCAAGGACTCCACGGAGTTGGACTCGCTCTCCTCTCCCTCTGCCACACTGGGCTGGGAGGCCACAGTCTCGGGTCGGAAAACACCCACCACCTGTAAGGAAGAGAAGAGGGGAGAAGAGGGTCCGGACATGGGTCCTGTGAGAACAGAGGCACAGGCTGGAGAAGAAGGACAAGAGATGAGAGGAGGGGCCTGCCCAAGGGCTCCAGAGCCGGGGCCTGGGGCTGCTCACCTTGCCGGTGGTGGCACTGACCAGCTTGGCCTGGCAGTCCACAGAGCCGGTTAGGATCAGGCTGCCATCCGGGTTGGTGGCAACACAAGTCAGGGGGCCCTGGTGGCCCTCGGTCCCTAGGATGGCGCAGAGGGGCAGGTCAGGCTTCCTCCTGCCTTCCTTCTCTCAGCTAACCCACCGGGGTGGGTTAGCACTCTTGCCCACACCTCGCCCCATACCTTTTAACACATGGATGGGGCTCCCCTGCTTCAGGTCCCAGATCCTGGTGGTGCCATCCTCGTAGCCGACCACAGCCCTCTTCCCTAGAGAAGCCCGGGGCGGAGGAATATGGGGGAAGGCAATGCACTCAGATATGCCCAAGAACGGCAGGACAGGGGAGCACAAAAAAGGAGATACCCCCCCAGGCCCACCCCCACCTCCCTGAGAGGAGCTGTCTGCTTGGGGACCAGGAGGCTGATGCTCCAGAGATCAAGTGGCCCAGGAGGGAGGTGGGGAACTCTGGGCTCATCACTCTGCACCAAGGGAGCTGCCTCACCATCAGGGAGAACGCGGCCACAGGTGGATGGGCAGTTGGGGCCCTGGAAGGTCTTACAGTCTCCATTCGGGACCTTCCACATCCAGGTGTTGCCATCCGCTGTGCCCGCCAGGAGGACAGGTGCACGTGGGTGCCACTCCATCCACTGGGCAGAGGAGAGGGGTCAACAGGGAGGCCTGACCGCCCAGCTCAGCTGGGAGACTACCTCATGAGACTGATCCAAGCCTTCCTGAGTCAGCAGAGGCATATCCCCAAGAAACTTGTGGACACCCCTGCTGGCCCTAGGGGCCATGAGCTCAGCCTGAGCCCATAAGAGGTGGGACCAGACCCCCGGGGTCCCATTTGGACAGCCTCACCTCCAGGTCTCCGGCTTCAAAGGACCAGACTTCCTCCTTGGTGTCCACCTGCCACACTTTCAAGAGGCCACTCATGTCTCCTGTGGCCACTAGGGTGGAGTCGTGGCTGAAGTCAGCACAAGTCACAGAATCTTTATGACCTGCAAGAGAAAGTGGATAGCAAGAGAGCATCAGGTGCCTAGCACCTGGGCTACCCAGGATGCAGAACCCCCCACCACCACCAGGTGACCAGCTGGGGGACAAAATAGAGGTGTGGGACACTGCAGAATAGGCCACATAATCAGATGCCATTTGACACCCTTGGGTCTTCTCAGAAAAAACAATGCTACCCCCTCCCCCCACCCTCCAAAGGTGGCCCAGGCTTCTTCAGTTTTATCCCTCTGGCCACTCAGCCCCTGGGCCGGAAATGCCCACATTCTTCCCTCCACTCAGTCACGCCTTCACTAATGTTGATTAGCTACTGCTTCCCTCCCTGGGGCCCGTAACAGACCATGTTATTCTCCTGGGGCCCAGCATAGCGCTAGCTCAAGCCCGGTGTCAATCAACGGCTATCAGACGCACTGCAGGCCAGTCTCCTAAGGCGCCCTGAAGGGGACATACCTCCCCTGGGCCCCTACTCTGGACACCTCACCTGCGCACTCAAAGAGCAGTTCCCCGTCACTAAGCCGCCACACGAAGGCTTTGTCATCTTCGCCCCCTGTCACTGCCAAGGTGTTGGTCTTGGGGTCCAGGCTCACACAAAACACAGATGCTGTCCCAAGAGATGGTCCATGAGTTAAGTGGGCAGGGGACCCACCGAGGGCTCTGTCCTTGTAGAACTTCACTACCCTAGGAACCCCCCCCAGCCCCCCCCCAGGAAGCACTAGAAGCAACATCTCTTTCCTCCTGAGAAAGGTGCAGGCAAATGTTTCTGCATTCCCATGATCAGGCTGTGGGGAACATTCTCCTCCAGGGCAGCTCCTTCACCCTCCCCACCCCCCCACCTCGAGGCTCCTCCTGTCTCCCCTTCATATCCCGCAACAACAGGTGCAGGGCACTATTCTCGATCTAGGGGGAGTCACCAGGCTGGGTCCCAACAGGGTACAGAGGGCAACATGGTTTCCTTGCCAAGAATATATGAGCAATATCCAAGTGTTTTAAAAGGTACTGTTATCTCCAGCAGGAGTCCCTGGTGGCGTTGTGGTTACAAGTTGGGCTGCTAACTACAATATCAGCAGTTCAAAACCACCAGCCAACTCCTCTGGAGGAGATGGGCCTTTCTCCTCTCGTAAGGAGCTACCGTCTCGGCAACTCAGTGTCAGTTCTACCCTGCCCGAAAGGGTCTCTGTGAGTCAGAATTGACCTGAACGCAGAGAGTTTGAGTGAGATCATTTCTAAGGAGCCCTGGTGGTACAATGGTTAATGCTCACCAAAAGGTTTAAACCTACCAGCCGTTCCCTGAAAGAAAAGGCTTGGTAGTCTACTCCCATGAGGATTTCAGCTTAAGAAACTGTGAGCGCTACTCTCCTTTGGCTGGTTAAGTTGGAACTGACTTAACGGCATATTTTATTTTAATTACCTCTAACTTTCATAAAAGTTTTTTAAAAGAAAGCTATGACATGGAATGGTAAAGATGGTCCTAAGTTGGTAAACAGCAGGGATAGGATTTGAACCCAGGCTGTCTCATCCGAGTCCCCACATGCCTCCTCCTAGTGAGGGCCAGCATCTTTTCCCACAGCTACATGCCCCAAATCACGCTGTACACACCAGTGCTTGATGCTCAAATGTCCAACTGGATGGAGTTCAAAGAGGCCTCAGTGCCTGGTGGAAGGGCTGCTCTGCACATGCTATGGCCAGGCTGGGCAGCATTTAGACAGGGGATGGCTGGGACGGCTGAAGAGTCCTGGGGTCCCAATCCCCAAGCCCGAAAGGTTGACTTCCTGAGAGGCCTACCTGAGTGCAGTGCAAAGGTGACCTCACTATCATCGGGGCCCTCCATGCTGCCGACCACCCCTTCCTGGGGCTCCAGAACCCAGCCCTCCTCGTTGCCCTCCTCTTCTTCCTCCTCTTCCTCAAAGTCTACATCTTCCATCTCCTGGGCCAGGTCATCTGCTTTGGGGAAGAGTTGAAAAGATCGGGCTTGGAAGGCAGTGAGAAGGACGGGGTCCAGTGTGAGGCGTACGCGGGCGGGGGTCGGTCATGGGCAAGAGGGGGTGGTGGGGTCTGCAGCTGGGGCGTCGCTAAATCGAGGTGCGGTGGGGTGGAGGGGGCGTCTGGGAGGAAGGAGGAGAGGGGAGGTTGTCCAAAGCCCGTGTGGGCAGAGAGGGCCGAGGGGATGATGGGAAGGGTGTGTGCGAGGGGTAGGACCCGGGGAGGCGTCGGGGGGAACCCCTACCCGGGCAAGGCCTGAGGGAGAACTGTGTGTGTGGACGCGCGCGCGAGTGAGAGAAGAGGTGTTGATCTGAACGACCGGTGGGATGCGAGGGGGAGGGGGGCGAGGGGGGAGAAGCAGGGGTCAAAGGCCAGGGGTGAGCGCCTCCTGTCCCACGGCCCGAGGAGCAGCAGTTCTCACCCGGGTCCGGCGGACCGGGATCCAGTTCTACCACCTCGATAATTTCTTCATCCCCATGGAAGCTTAGGGTTTCCAGTGGGGGGGTGTCAGCAGCAGCCCCCGTTTCCGATTCGGACTCCATGCGGCGTAAGCAGCCGTTCCACTTCTCCGGGCCCAAACGCCTCCCAGAGTGAGCTTTCCGCGACGACACGGAACTCGAGCCCCTCCTCCCGGGAGGAAGTAGGCGTAGGCGACTCTCCGGCAGGAAGAGGGACGGCCATTCGGCCAATAGTAAGGGAGACTGACTGCCTGACTCACCAATCACAGGGCAGAGTTGGGAGCAGCACGAGGCGTGGCGAGGAGCCCCTACACTCCGCCCACCCTCACTCCACCCCTCACAGGAGAGAAACAGACGAGCGTGCGCGCCGCCGCCGTCTCCTGGGAATAGTAGTTCTCCAGGCCTGCTCCGCGGGCTGCTGGGAGATGTAGTAGCTAATCTGTAGGCAGGACGGAAGGAGAGGGGGAGGCCCCTTACGCAAACTACAATTCCCGGCGGGGAGCGCGGTGAAGGGGGGTGGGGTTTGAACATGGCGGCGGTGGTAGCTGCTACGGCGCTGAAGGGCCGGGGGGCGAGAAATGCCCGCGTCCTCCGGGGTAAGGAGAGGGACCCTGGGGAGGGCAGGACTGCAGGAGCTTACTTTTCATTCACATCCCCCCTCGGCGGCAGCAAGAGGTCAGGGCTGTACTTCTTGCCCACACCCTCTGCAGTATCTTAAGAGTCTGGGGGCTGGAAGATGCTCCCTAGAGGTCACCCGGTCCGTCCCCCTACCTTCGGGTCACAGGACACTTCTGGGGCCTTGCTGCGAGAGGGCACCCCCCAGGGAGCCGTTTAGACTCCCGCGTCCAGGGGTTTCACACTCACCGCAGTGCAGAGGGAAGCACTGGGCTACTGGAGGCTCGGGTTCTAGCCCCGGGGAATTAGCAGTTTGACCTTGGGCGGGGGACTTCCATCTCTAGTTTCTGCTATAAAACGAGGGGATGGAATCGGCTACCTTTAAGCGCCCTTCCAGTTCGAACTGTTCTGTGGTTGTTTTAAACCTGTCCCCGGATTGCCTTCATACGTCGCCTGCCAGACCCACTGCAGTCCTTCCCAACCAGTCGCCTGAGATGAAGAACCCCGAAGCTCGCGCTCCTGGCACCAGGGGGGGGATGAGCCCGCAGTGACGTGGAGGTGGCTTCCTAAGGTGCCACTTCAGTGGCGATTTTCTTGTTACCCTGTGGATTCTCCCTGGCGCTCGTTACGCCGGACAGCAGTCACTCCCCCCCCTCTGATCGCACCCTCCCTCCGCAGCTCCTCCTGACCTTCCAAACCTCATCCACAGGGATTCTCTCAGGAGAGAAGGCTTCCCAGAGCCGGACCCGGGCCCTGCAAAGCCACAGCTCCCCCGAGTGCAAGGAAGAGCCCGAACCCCTGTCTCCGGAGCTCGAATACATTCCCAGAAAGAGGGGCAAGAACCCCATGAAGGCTGTGGGACTAGCCTGGTGAGTGTGAACCACCCCTTTGCCCACCATGGGGAATAGAACGCAGGGGAGGGCAGGACCTAGAAACTTCTTCAAGTTTCACATGGTGAGTTCAATCTGAGGGGCGGAGACAGAACTGCTGGATGCACAGATTGGCATGTTAGGGGGTGTGGCGCAGGGGGCGTTGGGGAGGTGTGTGGAATTGAGAAGAGAATGGGTTTTCTGTGAAGTCAGCTGGATTGAAGTGGCTCAGATCGGGTCCTCATCGTCTCCTTGGGGAGCTTGGGGTGTGTGTGTGGGGTAGACCTGCGTTCCAGGAATGAGTGAATCAAAGCCATGAGTGTCTTTCAGCTGTGTAGTAGCACCTAGCAGGTCATCCAGTGCATTGCTATGTAGATCTGACTCGACTCTGGCGTTAAGACCTCCCTATGAATGATGAAGAGAAGTGGGGCGGGGTGGGGGGGTGTTTGAAATGCACTCCTCCCCCACCCCCCAGCATGTGAAGTACTTTGTAGTGTAATGTGTTCAGCTTTCTGAGATAAATATCACATCCTCATTGCTTAGAAGAGGGAACTGAGACTCAGGGCTGGGATTTCCACTGAATCATATGACTTCATGCTCTTTCCCCACCCCCTATATCAAAGCACCTCCCAGAACAGGTTAAGGAGGGGTGCCTGAGAGGGTTGGGAGGCCGCACAGGCAGATTCTGCTAAGATTTGGGGAGCGAAAGAGGGTGGACTTTGTGGAGAATCATGGACAGTCACGTGTCAGACAGGAGGGTAGGGGGTTGAAGAGACCTACCCACATTGGGCCCTGGGTGCCAGTGGGAATTTGGACTTGAGCAGTGAGTGATGGGGAGCCTTTCTGGGGTTTTAAGCAGGGCAGCACAGGATCTGATGGGCTCTGGGGCCCTTGCAGCCCACGCTGAAGAGAAATAGAAACGAGGTATTGCGGTGTCTTTGTGACTCGTGCAGCCGAAATGGGATGCCCCTCTGACTCCCCTGACTCAGGTCTGCCCCTCTCCAAACCCCCTGCACATCTCCCCACCCCTAGGGCCATCGGCTTCCCCTGTGGTATCCTCCTCTTCATCCTCACCAAGCGGGAAGTGGACAAGGACCGTTTGAAGCAGATGAAGGCTCGGCAGAACATGCGGGCGTCCAACACGGGCGAGTATGAGAGCCAGAGGTTCAGGGCCTCTTAATATGCTCCAGCTTCAGCAGCCGGCTGGGTCGCAGGCCCGAGGAACCCAGCCAGGGGCCTTTCCTAGACTATTTATTGACTGTGGGCTCCCCGGGGATTGGCCAGGCTGCTGGTCCTTCCACTGAGCTCCACCAGGGGGCACGAGAAGCCCAGGTTGCTGCCGCCAACTCCGGCCCTTCCCACCTGGCGATGGCCAGCCTCAGGCAAATAAAGTTCCCCAGCTTGTGAGTGGAAGGGAACCGGCCTGGGTTTGTGATTTCCCCTGGGCCAGGAGGGCACAGGGTGGGGCTGATTGCTGGTGTGCCTGCCGGGATCACTGGAGCTCAGTGTTCCCCGTGGGGAAACCGCAGGCTTAGAGATAGCAGTCTAAGCTCAGGATGCCCAGGCCCTGGAGGGCCTGCCCAGGAGAGCCAGTGGCACTCAGCCTTGAATCAAACCATGAAAGGAATCAAGGCATCTAGGGCGTGGAGGGAAAAAGCACCCTGATGGGGTTGGAGAGCTGGGCCTGTTTCCTCATAAGAGGGTGTGAGCTAGTGTTTTCTAAGGCAAAGTTTCTGAAGCTGGGTCCGTGCCCTGTCCCATCCCTCAACCTCCACCCCCGTTTATAAAATGGTGCATAGTACATTGTGGAGAAGGGAGTGAATAATAGCACTCTTGAGCTTTTCGTAAGGGCCCGTGACCACTCAGCGAGGACCGGCCCTGTCTATCCTGTGACAGGGTAGAATGCCTTTCCCCAGCCAGCTGCTGAACCCTTGCTGGCCTGAGGCCCCCACAGGAATCACTGGGCGACCAGTGTCGACTTCTGTTGGAAGTGGGAGAAGGCCTGGCCAAACAGGCGCCGTGGCCAAGTGGGGACCGATGCCTCCCTCTCCAGCAGCAGACCTGAGCCACGTAGGGTTTGAACTTGTAGACATGAAAGTTTATTACATTTCTGCTTGCATCCTTTCCTGTGTGACATATTCAGGGCCAGGTCCATAATAGAGAAAGGCGTCCAAGTTAGACCTTTGTGCTGATGCGGCCTCCACCCTACCCATTCTGAGTGATGAGTCCTGCTGCCCTTCCAGCAAGGCACTTGGTGTTAACAAAATGGGGCTTTGCCGGGGTGCGGTGTGCAGGTTTGAAGTACCCCATGTGAGTAGGAAGGGCCCTCCCAGGGTTACAGGGAAAAGACCGCAGCCATCTCTGTGGGAGCCACAGTAAGCCTTAGATACTGCTCAGGGGGAGGGTGGGGAGGTAAAGCATTCTCTCTGTCCCCACTCTCTCATTTCTCTTCACCCTCTTACTTCCTGCCCACCCCATCTCCTGATCTCTGCCCCCTTACTTCTGCTGTGAATAGCCTTCACACAGCAAGTGAGAGGTGCTTCCACACCTCTGGAGAATGGGGACCAGGTAGCCAGAATTGGGCCGCTTCTCTGCCGCCCAAACTCTGAGGGAGCCCAGGTTTCTGATCCGCTGGCTAACTCATCCACCCGGGTAAGTGTATATACACAGAATGAAAGAAGGAGGTGTTGAAGCAGGGAGGCCCTGGCGCCATGGGTGAGAAAAGAGCTGAGACTGGTGGTCTGTCGGCCCTGGCTTTGTGGGGCTGGGGGAAGTGACAGCTCCCTAGCCTAGAAGCCTGCAATGCATAGAGGGAAACCGCCTCATCTGGAAGCCTTCCCCCTTCCCTCTCCACCTTGTGAAGGAGCGCCTTCCACCCCTCCCTCTCTGTCCTCTAGCAACCAGAGGAGGGAGCCATTCATGTCCAATCCTTGCCAAGCCAACCAGAATAAGAGTCGGTCCCCAGTTCTTCCAGGACCAGCAGCAGGTGCTTCCAAGGTCCACAACCAGAGAGCCCCACCCCCAGGGCACACAGGAAACCGGGCATAAGACTGAAGGGGCAGAAAAGAGTCTGAGGCACAGACCCTGGTCATAGGACCCAATCCGCCTAGGAAGCAGGGGCCCGGGGGTGGGGGCAGAGCCCCTCAATCACAGGTCCTCATCAGCTGCAGCACAAAGGTGAAGATGTAGATGATGTCAGTGTAGATCTGCAGGGCGCCCGTGATGTAGTCCTCCGGGCTGATGGTATGCTTCCGGTTGCCCAGAACCAACTGCGTGTCATAAGCCAGGAACTGCAGGGACAGGGAAGCGGGTGAGGACCCGGGGCCCCAGTGCCCTGGGCTCCCCTGGGGTCAGCAGGTTTTTCCTGGGAACGGGTGGGGTGGGGCACATTGACAGACTGCCCCACCATCAGGTCACCATCCAAGAAGGGAGATGGGACACCCCAATGTGTAATGCAACCCGAGGCATGTTCTAACAACAGGGAAGGAGGATAAGAGATGGCTGCCACCCTCACCCTACCCCCCCCCCAAGCAGTTTAAATTCATGCTCCCCCACCTCAGCTCTCCCCTCCAGACCCCTCAGTGCCTCTTGCTGGAGGGGCAGGGGCTGACTCACCAGAGTGAAAATGATGGCCCCCAGGGCGGCATAGAGCATGTGGAGCCAGTAAACCTGGGAAAGGGGACAGGGCGGGGGTGAGGACTGCTGTTCCCTAGCCCTGCTTCCCCGGGTGCGGGATCAGAGCACTTTGGTCCAGGAGCTAGCCCTCTGGGAAAAGTCTACTGCTGCCTCCCAGATCCTGGAAGCAGTGGAGGGGTGATAGCATCTCTCAGTTAGTGTAGGTGCAGCGGCTTCCTCTGGACTTGTGGTTCGAGAAAAGAGGCAGTTATGTTACAGCTCTGCAGGCAGGCACTGGCTGAAGAGCCCCCTCACCTTTCCCCCAATCATGGCCAGACTTCAGCAGAGTGGGTCCTTAAGAGCGATGGACTAAGGAAGGTAGGCTGTGAGGGGAGCCCCCACCACAGCCCCTGATGAGTATCAACCAGGGCGTGCCCCAGGCAGCCCCACAGGTATCCTTCCAGAGGAGAAGACAGCATGCCAGGGAAGTGGGCAGGCAGGTCTCTTGGCCACACCCTTCCCCTTTTCACACCCCTTCCTGTGGCTCCCCTCAGTCTGGGGATCCCCAGCTGATGGCCCACAGGAGGGCAGGATGTGGCAGTTCCTAAGGTGCCCCTCGTCCCAAGTTCACCGGCTCCCAGAAGTCCTCAGGCAGCGCTCAGTGACTTGGTCTGAGCCACACCGCCCGAAAGAATGGGGTGCTGCCCTAAGAGCCATCAAGTGCCGAGGCTCCCAGGGCCCTCAGCCTCCAAGGAGAGATTGTCCCCCAGCCCAAAAGGATGGCACCTCAGTGCTTGGCACCCAGCTAGCCAGTCACTGGAGATTATGGAGAGGAGAGCCTGCCCAGGGGCCTCGGGCCTCCAACCGCAGGCTGCCCAGAAAGCCCGCTCCAAGCACCAGTCTCGCCACCTCACACACGCGTGTCCCCCTGGGCTGCTCACATATTTGAAGGACAGCACGATGGCAGTGACGATCCCCGTAACCATCAGCACGATGCCCAGCACACAGAAGAGGCCTGTGCACGAGGTGAAATCCACCTGCCATGGAGGGAGCAGGAGGCAGCCGTCAGCAGGCCATCCCTGCCCCCTTGAGCAGCCTAGTCAGAGCTGCCCAGGAGAAACACAAGACAAAGCCTTAGAGATGCCACTGGGAGGGGCGGGGAAACCTCTGGCAACAGGGGTTGCGGCCCACCCAACTTGGAATCCCCTCTCTGCTCCTCAACCCGCCCAAGAGCCAAGCCCAAAGGGCCAGCTCCGGCTGCTCACCTTGGTCTGAATACAGAAGATGGTGACAGATATGGACACCACAGCTGTGATCATCATGGCAATCATGACCGCCTTGATGCTATACATACTGAGGCAGAGGGCAGAGGTCAAAACCACCACTTCCAGAGAGAGCTCACCCAGACCCCACCCAGGCAGGTAACTGCCACCCAGGGCCAGCCCACTCCCCAGGACACACCCTGCCCACAAGGGTGATGCTGAGCTGGTGGCTGGACATACCTGGAGATGGCGCCTGTCATGTAGCCCAGAGCAAGAGTCTGAGGGAGAAGGGCAGGGAGAAGTGAAACAAGAAAGGTGAGACCTCCCAAGGTGACCACCGTCACATATAGGACAACAGAGGAGACCAGGAGATTGGGTGGGGGGTGGGAGGTGCCAGGGACGGCCTCTGCAGCAGAGTCCCCCTGGCCTCTGCAGCCATCTCCTCCCCACCACCTTCTGGACTTACAAAGAGGGTCAGCAAGATGATGTTCCACGGGAAACGGCGCCTGAAAGGAAAGCGACACCTCGATTCAGTGATGTGGCTGATGGGGAGTAGAGGGGTTTCAGAACGAACTGCCCGGCTCCTCCCTGGAGGGTCAAATCTTGACTGGGGAGGAAGAGAAAGCTGGTGTGGCCTTGGTGCCTGCTCAGCTGTTCGCTGCAAGTGCAAGGTGGGCAGTGGGACCAACGACAGCTATGGATGGAGCCAGAAAAACCAGAGACCGAGGAAGTTACTCTGCCTTGTGAAGCCCCAAGTTCCTCTCATTTGGGGGTTAAAATGCTACCTATGTTGCAGATCATTGTAAGGAAGACAGATGCAATATGTGCATGGAGTACTCTGTCCCCCACGTCAGCAGCGACCAGCATGATCTTCAACCTCATCTGCCATCAGAAAGCTCCCTTTCCCCCCAAAATGCTCTGCCTTCTCCCACCCTCTGTGCTCTCTCTTTTTCGTGTAAGCCTCTGGGACTCACCTGGGTCCCTGGCAGCAGATAAGAGTCAGGTAGGTGGCCAGGAAGACAGCACTGGGGAGAAAGAGATAGGGTGGGAGCCTGCAGGCCCAAACCAGCCCTCTGGCACTGGCGGGCAGAACAGCAGCAGTGGGGGGCTGGAGGCCCCAAGAGTTATGTGGGAATCTGAGGGCAAGCTACTCAGTAGGAAGCAAGGACAAGAGACCCCCATCTGGAACACAGAACCTCTGTGACTCCTGTCATTCTGGCCAAAAGTAGGTATAGGGAGGCCAGAGCAGTAGACTTAGGGGGCTCAGGGGCCGGTGTATAAGACCCCCCTCCCCAACCCTGTGTTGTTAACCCCGTCTGGCCCCCCCAGACCCACCTTCCAGCACAGGAATTGGACAAGGGCTATTTGGAGGACCCCTCCCGGAGGGAGAATGTTCTGGCCCCTGCTCTGAGAGGAGAGCAGCCAGAAGCAAGCGGAGCTCACTCACTAGGATGCGTAGTACACAGCCACATTTTTCTTCACGAATTCCCCAACTGGTTCCCTGGGGAGGTGCAAACAAGGAGGGCTCATACCGCAGCCTGCCTGCCTCTCTGCGAAGACCCGCGGACTGCCTCACTCTTTGCAGTCTTCTCCAACACCTGCCCCCCACACACACCCCCTCCCAACCAGTTACTCTTCCCACCCACCCATTCTTGAGGTCAGGGCCCAGCAGGCAGCGGAGAGGCCCCCAGACTCACACGAAGACGAAGACAGCGATGATGGCCACTGTGATGAGCAGCTGGATGGAGATGATGGTGTAGACCTGGAACACAGGGCCATCACCACTCTGCCCTCTACCCCCACTCCCGTTAAGGGTGGGGAGTGGGGGAGAGGTTGCTCTTAACAGATTGACTTCTCCTTTGTTCCCACCTCCAGAGTGCTGCTGGCTTAGAGGCCATGACCCTGCCCCTGCCCAGTGGATGGTGGTACAGAGCTGATCCCCTGTGCCTCTCCCCACTCCCTCTGCCCTTCCATCGCCCTCCCTGGCCTACATCCAGCCTCAGGCTCTCCTCCGTTATCACCCCTCAGCTTGGTCTGATGTGCCCTGCATGTGTGTTCTGAGTAGGGGGCTCTAGACTGACAGCCAGTGTACCCACAGCAAACCCTCTGGGAAAGATGACACTCCCCAGACTGCAGCAAGGAGGACTGGTTGGGAGAACACAGGCCCTAGAGAACCAGGCCTGGAGGCTGATGGGGAATGTGCCCTATGGCTGGTGCTGCCTCCCAGCCCCTCCCCCGCCCCACACCTACTCCCCAGGTCCCAGCTCACCTTTCGGATGAAGGTGTGTCGGACTTTCATGTCATCCCATTCTCCAGGACCAAAGTTGTCACTCACGGCTCTCTCCTCCCCGCCATAGCCCTCCCCTGGGCCTGAGGACAGATTACATGTGACCCACCGGGGACCTGGGACAAGTGGCCCCAGCCCCAAAGCTCCTACACACACTCCCCCAACAAAGTCATCCCAGGTATCTCCAGCCAACCAAACACAAGTGTTACACAGAGGGGGCTCCTGTCCTTTGGAGACCCTGTACCAGGCACTGCTGCAGCCCTAGGACCGGCCTGAAGGTCAGGTGTGAGCCAATCTGCGATCTGTTGGGGGTCATGTGTGTGTGTGTGTGTGTGTGTGTGTAGCGACCCAAGTGCCAGGGGGCCCTCAGGCCCACAGTCCCTGCTGTCCAGGGCTCCCAACTGGTCTAGGGGAGCATGCAAGCAGGAGCAGGCCTAGGGCCCCAGTTGGGAGTCTGGAGGGAGGTAGGACCTGGCTGGGTCAGAGCAGGAAATGGGGGGAAGGAGCACACAGTGGTTTGGGGGCTATGAGCATACACACATTTGTGTGAATGGTGCAAAGACTGATAGGCATCAGGCTTCCTGGGGACACAGTTATGTCAGGTGTGTGCACCCCCAGGGTGAGGTGTGATGTGCTGCTTAGGTGCCTCAAACCCTCCACCCAGAGATCTGGCTGGGCATGTGTCTCTGGATTCTAGGGATGCTGTGGAATCTCAGAGCCTTCCTTGAGGGTCTCCTTGGGGACTGCTTTTTCAGATCCATGGAGGGGCCACCAGGAGAGAGATCTACTCCCCCACCCATGTTCTACTCTTAGCTCACTCCTGAAAAAGGTTTTGCCTTAAAGAATGGGATCTGTCTTCACAGAGGTGGGGTGGGTGTGTTTCAGATGGGCACCGGGCTTCAAAGGCAATTCCTAAGGTAGCCAGCAAGGGTGGGTGGGTGGCAGTTGCCTGGCTGAGAAACAGGGAAGCCGTCACCTCAACCATCTCGCTGACAATTAGCCCCCTGTCTGTTCTCTGGCTGTGTGTGCTGTGGGGCTTAATGTAGCCGGCTCTGGGCAGGGGTAAGGGGCCAGCAGGCTGCTCGGAGCTAGGTGCTGTGGAGGGGGGAGAGGGGAAACGAAGAAGACAGGCACAGACATGGGAACAGAGACAGGGAGAGGGTTGAGGAGAAAAGGAACGAGATGGGAGGCCTTATCTGCAGGTGCCGCCCCTCCCTCCCCTCGCCATTGCCCCTCAGGGACTCACCGTAGTTCATGGGCATCGGGTGGATGGGTGGCACAGGTTGGGGGTAGCCAGCAGGGTGCCCGTAGCCCGGCTGCGGGTAGGCAGGGTAGGGGGGATACCCGCCTGGCTGTCCATAGCCCCCAGGGGTCGGGGCTCCTGGGTATAGGGGGTTGCGGTCCTCGTATGGAGGGGGTGCACTGGGGTAGGACATGGCCACTCAGAGGCTGAGAAGCCCAGCTGCTTGGACCTAAAACAAGCCAAGAAAAGCAGTCATTAAAAAAAAAAAAAAAAAAAGCAGTCATAAGTGACCAGGCCCAGGCCATCTGGCTCACTCAGCCCAGGCCCAGGCTCACTCAGCCAGCCCAGGCCATCTCTGTGGGAGAGGGCCCACTCAGCACGCCCCCTGTTCCCCATCTGTCCCTCCATCCCCACCAGTTCAGCCACCAGCCCTCTCTCTTCACTATCAGCCCTCGGGCCTAGTGAAGTAGCAGGTGGGGGTCTGGTTCAGGAACCCAGAGGGCTTTCTGAACATCAGGCCAGGGGGAGCCCAGGAGGAGCGCCTGTTCTCAGTTAAGAAAAGCTTCCAGCATGGGGACATGATGTCAGTGCCAGGGAAGAGGCCGAGGGGCCCAGTGAAGGGGTCACAGCAGCTGGCAGCAACAGCAGGCCTGAACACCAGGGCTGGGGCAGGGCCACGGTGAGCCGAGAGCTGGAGGAACAGGAAAACAAAGGGAGCTAGGCCAGAGCGGCCAGCTCGGAGACCAGGGGCCCGGGGAGCAGGGCCAACTGAGGGATGGACAACCTGAGCAGCCTGGCTAGGAGGTACCCAGGCCCTGCCACTTAGGGCTGAAAGCTATAAATATAGTGAGGCCCAAGACAGGACTTTCTGGTTCCTTCAGTCACCCCTGGTTACACGACAGATAGGCATGTGGCAGTGTGTGTCCAGCCAGCCCTCCTCAGTGGCCTGGCCTGCCTGCCCCCAGGGGTGGTGGCAAGAGGGAACCCTGGACACACAGCTAGGAGGGAACTGTAGTGCTGAACAGTGACTTGACTCCCCCGGGGGACACAGAACTAGAGGTTCCTGGCAGACCTGACAGAGGTCTGTCTTCAGATTGGGGACATGTGTCCTTCATGCCACTTCTGCCGTGCCCCCCTGGCTTGGAGTCCCCTCTGAGGTGACCGTGATGGGGGCCTGGGAAAAGCTAAGAGGGCTGTCCCTTCTGGAAACCCTGGCAGGCCTACTCCCATTCCCTAGAATGCAGGCCTTCAGCACCGTGAACCCCCAAACCCAGGGCAGCAGACACCTTCAGACCCACTGCTGGAAGGGAGAGCGCAGGCCTGTCTTTGTAGGGCGCCTGCAGAGCTGGGCAGTTCAGGGATCAGATAAAGAGCAGGCACATCCCTTCTCTCCTTTCTTGAGGTCCCAAGGAGAAGGCCAGGCTGGGAAGGCTCGGGAGGGGATCACATAACAGGCCACGCCACAGCTCTCTAGCTCGCCAGGGTTAATGGGTCAGGGCCGGCCTGGGTTGGGTCAGAAGAAGAAAGATTGTCCTGGCAGTAGGAGAAATCCAAGCTTGAAAGACAGCAGACTAACCTTTCGGTGTTATGAATTTCAGAAACAAAAGTAATAACTACTTTTGGCCATGTTCAGTGAGGGGGAAGCCCTAACTAGTTATAACAGGTGATGTCCTTTAACAGGAGGCAAAAAGAGGAAGCGAGTTCAGTTCGGCTCCCCTCCTCTCCCTCTCCCTTGGCGGCATCCTCTCTGGAAAAAAGGGGCACCGTGGGATAGGTCCCTTTGGAGTAAGTTACCGTCATCAGCACCCGAAGCCCGTGTGTCATCTGGCTGGCTTCACCCAGCTCACAAGGCCCTGGGGCCCCAAGGGAAGTCACCAGTGGTGGGGGCCAGTCCCCTCCTAGGTTCAAGAGGCATCTCTGAAATGAGTGGGTGGGTCCGGACCGTTGAGCTCACTGCCTGCCTTCCCCGAACAATGATCCTGGAATGGCTCTTCAGCTAGCCCTCCCTTCCCTGAGAAAGGGGGACGCACAGAGAAAGTCAGCTGTGGGTGAGCCACCAGACTCCAGGGTCCAGGTCCAGCTCAGCAGGCTGCTGAGTCAGAGGCTCCCTCCTCCCTCCCCCGCCCCGCCCCGTGGCCATCACTGAGACCTGCTTGCTGGGAGCGCAGGCTGCTCACAGCCCAGGCCTCCGATGGCCGGCCACTGCAGCTGCCCTCGTCCTGGTCAGAGCTGTGCTGACTACCTCACCCCACTGTACCCCAGTCCCTTCGCTTGGAAAATGGGCTGACTGCTCGAAAGAGTACCCTCCGAAGAGCTGGTAGGATAGAGGAGCACCCACACAAGAGCCAGCCCCCGGTAGGCAGCCACTGCGAGCTACTTTGTTACTGTTTCATGAAATCCTCCCAGGAGCACTCGGCATGCTGTTACTGTCCCCTCCGCTCTCACAAACAAAAGAATCCAGTAACTCGCCCAAGTGCTTGTAGCTGGGCTGTGCCGGGGCAAGCCTCTGTGCCGGGGCAAGCCTCTGCCCATCCCCACTTGCGGCCCCTGCCATGGCGGCTTCCTGTGGAGGACCCTCTCATGACACACCACAGGGTAGATAACCTCAGATTCACAGGGAAGTGAGCTCCTGTGTGGAGTCAGCTGTCTCCACCGCCTACCATTCACCGGGACGGGGGCGGGGATACAGGGGACTCAGAGCTGTCGCTCACTTCCTCATGGTGACTCTGTGGGCACAGGGTCAGGCTGCCCCACGGGCTTTTGAGGCTGGGGCCTTCAGAAGCAGATCGCCAGGCCTGACTCCTGAGGCACCCCTGGGTGGGGTCCCCCTGCCAGTGTTCTGGCTGGGCTGGGAATCAAGAGCTCAGTCATGTGTAGCCCCGGGGACCTCCATTCAGAACTAGAGTCATCAGTAGCACAGCTGAAAGGGCCTGTAGTCAACTCCTGACTCTCCCGACCCCCAGGCCAGACCACAGAGCCTGTCCCTGGTCCCAGAGCATGTCCCAGGGCCAGGATGAACGGCTATTGATGTGGGTGCAGGAGTGGGAAAGAGACTCCTGGTGCTCAGGCTACCCACTCCCCCACTCCTCTCCACAAGAAGGGCCGGCTGAAGACCAGTCTCCATGAGCACCCTGGCCACTGCCCCAAGGAATGATGAAGGGCCTCTCGAGTGATGCAGCTTGGGGCTGCCATCTGTCTAGCTGACGGGGAATGTGCCCTGTGGCTGGTGCTGCCTCCCAGCCCCTCCCCCGCCCCACACCTACTTCCCCCAGAGGCCTTGTTTACTTCCTGGCTCTGATTGGAGCTGAGAGGCAGGGAGGGAAGAAGACTGTGGTGCTGTGCCCAAGACCAGCCACCAGGCTGCTTCCCAGCCAGTGCTAGGGGCTCCCTGTCCTGAGACTGAAAGTAAAAGGGCTTTCACACAGGAAGCCCTGATCTTCCTAAAATGCTGCATGATTTCAGCTTCTGTCTGAAGGAAGACTAGGGAAGGAGCAGGCACCCTTGGGGTGCAGGCTGCTGGGCTCCTGGGCCCATTCCTCCTCACAGTGCCGGTGGCTGAAGCATCCAGGCTCTGTGCCATCCTAGCCGTGATCTGAGCTTGCTCTCTGTCTGTCTCTCTCACACATAGCCACCCACACCAGGAAGGAGCCAGGCTCCTAACTGCAGGGCCCCAAAGCCCAGCCTGGGATGGCCACCGTAGGTGGGCTCCCCCTCCCCTGGCGCCTCTTCACTGGGTCCGTGGGGTGACTACACCCTTAGGTACTTAAAGGGTTAAGGCTCTGGAATGGGCAGAGGAGGAGGCTCGGGCTTCTGGGGTTACAGCCTAGGGTGTGTACTCGCTGGAGGGAGGGGCAGAAAGGCTCAGGCCTGCCCTCCTCTCCGCCAGGACCAGGTGCCCAGCCAGCGCCAGAATGGAAAGAATTGCTCAGTGTGCATGGCAGGAAACCCCACCCGGCAGGCAACTCGTTTGGCCCTGGCCCCTGGGCCCAGGCCTCTGTCGGGCGCCTGTTCTTTCCCTAGCCCCCCACCACCAGTATACAGCCCTGAGTTAGCATCTGGGCCTGAGGGGGCCATAATACCTGTTCAAGTTAGCAGTCGCCTGTTGATTTGGCCTCTGGGGTTAAGAGGAGGGTACCTATATCCGGGACCCAGACCCTGAAATGTCAGGGCCAAATGCACTTGAGAAATCCTGTCACTTGACAGACAGACAGACAGAAAGGAAACTTAAGACAAAGTTCCTGCCAGGCCCACAAAAGCACACTCTTAGTCAAGTGCTTAGAATTTCCCTTCCCGGCCCTGCCAGTGTCTCAGTGACGAATCACGAGCATAACCACATCACCCCAGGAAGGGCAGCCACGCCTCCTAGTCCCCCAGTTCCTTCATACCCTTCCTGTTCAGAAACAGATAAGACAAGCAGCTGTCTCTGCCTGAGCCCAGCCAGATGCCATCTGTCCAGCCCCGGCTCTCCCCAGGAAGGCCTCTCTCCAGACAAGAGATGGGCAGCTAGGCCAGAGCGTGGAGGGCACAGCACTGCGGGTCCCTGGTCACGGAGCAGGCTGAGACCCCAGCCCAGCCAGAAGTCAGGGCCGCCTGGCCATGCAGATAAGGGAGGAGGAGCCCGTAACAGGCGCTGGATGCCACTT